AAAAATTTTTTTTTTGTTGAAAAAAAAAAAAAAAAAAAAAAAAAAAAAAAGAGAACTTCTGACATTTTTTTTCTGTACTTATTTTCACACTTAGTTTCCAAAAAGCTATGTCTGTCCTAGGACAGGAAACACCATTTTCATGCTACATTTAGCTTACACTGAGCTCAGCACATTGTCTCAGCTTCCAAAGCTGCAGTTTCAAACTACATCAGCTCGTCAGGCTATCAGAACAAGTATGTCAAGAGCTGATTCCTTAAAGGTGCAGAAGCTTGAAACTGTGAAATCTTTTATTTAACCTATCACATCACTAAAGGTGTCCTCTCCACATAGCACTGGTTATGATTTGTCATCTGTAATAACACTTGAAGCTTTTACAGTCACTACAATGTGAAGACCAAGAAGACAATGTCAAAGCTTCTACAAAGCAAAGAGACTCTGAGAAGCACTCACTAACTGGAGAGGAAATTACAAATATTCATTCCACAACACAATGGATAAGTCTGAACATTTGAATTAGTTCTACATGGGGACAGGAAAAAGTCCAGTGCATTTTCTCTCAGTAAAAATGCACCTTGGGTTTTTATTATACTTAGGATCACAGAATTACAGAAATCTTTGTGTGGAATGGGACCTTAAAAATGATCCAGTCCCACACCCTGCCATGGGCAGGGACACCTTCCACTATATCCAAGGTTGCTCCAAGCCTGTCCAACCTGGCCTTGGACACTTCCAGGGATCCAGGGGCAGCCACAGCTGCTCTGGGCAGCCTGTGCCAGGGTCTCCCCACCCTCACAGTGAAAAATTCCTTGCCAATATCCCACCTAAAGCCATCAAAGAATTAACAGATTTTTTTCATCTGCTAGAAAGGGATCTAAAAACAAACCCAAATGTTGACACTCACCTCAGAGAAGTAGAACAGGGCTGACTCACAGAACAGAATGTCAGCCAGATACACAGTCCCACTGGTCAGCACCTCGATCTGGTATTTACAGAAATGGTGACTTCGCAAAAACTCACTAAAGTGCCTGCACAAAGACAGGGACAATCAGCTATCAGGGCCAGCAGCACCCAAGGCACCCTCAGAACCAATTAGGTCTTGCCCAGAACTCTGATACTTTTGGTTGGATAAAAGTAAAACAAGCAAGACACAGGGCAGGTTTGTAAATGGCACAAGAGATAAAGAACACAACAGTGTGAACAGCCAAGTTCAGCAAGAATGTTTTGGAGAAGGGGAGCTGAGCAGTTTCAAATACAGAAGACAGCACAGAAAATTGCTGATATGGTTATGTCTCCATAAGCATTTTTAACAGAACCTTTAGGATAAGAGACACAAGAACCCAAACCACTGTATCAACTTACTCTTGTTCCATTGCACTGAACACTATGGACTGTGCAGTAACAAAGCAGTTTGGATCCACTTGGCCATCCTCCCCACAGATCTTTGCTGCAAAGAAAGACCAGGTTAATTTTCACATGGATTTGGCTGATGGAGCTGAAAGACATGAGCAGGGACTAGTTAATGAAAAATTGCAGTTCAAATCCACCAGAATCAGCTAGTTCTGACTGAGCAAAGAGCTTCCAAAGCTGGCCAAATAATAATATGGCTAAAGTATTTGATTGAGACTCATATCTGGATCCCCTACATAATGACCAATAATTCTTTCCCTAATTTAAACAAAATCTCTGAAAGTTTTTATGAGGATATTCACAGCACTGCTGAAGGTCAGATCCAGTGATACTTGTAATCTCCTATCTTTTTACAGCTGCTTTTAAAATTCATAAAAGTAAAGACAAATACAAGTGTGTGACAAATTAGAGATACATTTTTATAGGGACAGAGCAGCTCTGAAATCAGGAAGCAGTTATTCATTCTTACCAACTATGTCATTTCTCATTGCTTCTGTAATAGGGATTGGTTTAGCAGCATCTGGAGAAATATATTTGGTAAAAGTACTAACTGCATCCCGTTCTATACCTGCAGGGAAGAAATACAGAATCAAACTTGGAATTCCTTGGTATCAGTGAGAAACAAATGTTTTCTTTTCAGAAAAGCAGGTGTCTAATTCTCAGTGATGCTTCCACTGCAGGATATTCATATTCTGCTCCTGACCAGCTGCAGGGACTGTAGGATCTCCAGCAAGGTCGCAACAAACCCAGCATGGACTAAGATGGAATAAAACAACATAGCTCCAAATTTTCCCTACCACCACACAAGGCAGAACCCACTTCCTCAGCTGCACACCACAGTCCCAGAAGCAACACCTTTCAGGCAAGTAAATTCCCAGTTTTTAGCTCTCATCACAGAAAAATAATTTGCATTATATAGGAATTAGTAGGGAAAAAAGCATCTTAAAATGAGATGCCTCAAACAAATTGTGTTCTTTACACATCATCTTTTGAGACTTGTGACTCTGCTCTGGAAGAGAGAAAAAAATTACACTCAAATTCTTTTCCAATTTCTCAGTAAGGACCCTGTGTTCTCAAATTCTTTTTAGACATCAGAAAGCAGCACTGCTTTGATGACTAAAACATCATTTTCCTTGTTTAAGTGACTTTTGGGCTGAGGTTATGTATTGTGGAGGCATATGATAAATAACTACATGAGAAAGACAAACAGCAAGAGAAAGGGATGCAACATGAGGAAACAGTTGGGCAAACAAAAGGAACCGATATGAAGAAAGAAGTGTTTCCTTTTTGCCTGCAGACTTGCACAAATGAGGGAGGACTGAGTAGATGCAAAGTAGAGAAACATGTTACTGTGCATGTAGCTCACTACCAAAAGGAAATATTTTAATTTCATTCTTACTTCCAGCAGCCTCTGAAGAGGTGGAGTCCAAATGACAACAAATCAGTTACAAGGGGAGGAACTCTATCAAATAAATCCAAGAACAAAAGCAGTACATTCCACATATAAATCTCCACAAGTCTCTTCCAACCACTACTTATGTCTTTTTATGTAATACAGGATATTTACCTTCCATGACAGGTTAATTATCAATTCTCAGCCCCACCATCCAAACTTTCTACAATTCTTTTAAGGTGGGATGAGATGGGTGAGGGAAGAACTGGAAATAGCAATGTTCACTTAATTTCTTATGATTACACATGGAAGAACAGAAGCAACCTATGCTCATTGAGTACACAATGATCTTGATGTCTCTTCAGTAGCTTTTTTATTTTTAAACAAGTCAAACAATACACAGCTCAAACTGACCAGCAGCAAGTTAACATCAGTGATACATAAAACTTTCTTCCTTACAACATCACATCATGCTTGCTAAGAACCTGAGAACTGAGGCAGCTCCCTGCACAAAAACATTCCCCATTTCCCACCTTTTCAACCAAAGGGAACACGCAGCACTTACTTTTCATGAGTTTTCCTGACAAGTCCTTTAGTGCAGAGGAGGGGCTGTTTCTATTTGATACTGAAAGCTTGGAAGATCCTTGCTGATCAGCTGGAAGAGAGTGAGTCCCTGTCTCTGGTTTCCTCAGAGCCAGAGCACTGGTGCTGTGGCTCTCCTGCCCCAGCAGCCCCACGTCGTTCTGGCAGCTGGCAGTTCTGTCAGGCTCAGGCCGGAGCAGCTGGGCTGTGCCAGAGCCCTCCAGCCTCTCCTCCAGCCACCCAGCAGGAGGAGAGGAGGCCAATTCCTGCTGTTTGGAGGGGGACACTGGCTCTGCCAGGGAGCTCTGCTTCACTGTGTTCAGGCTGTGCGCGCGGATGCGAGACCAGGTGGTAGAGTGGAAGCTCTCGGCCTCTAACCAGAATTTCACCAAGTGCTCCATCCTGCGCAGCTCCATGAACTGGATGAAGTAAGGGAGGGCTACACTGTCCTGCAGGACTTGTTCAAGAGTCTTGGAAAGGCTTGATTTGGTCTCTTGAGCCTGGTAGTTCAGACATGATCTGCCTAAAGGAAAACATAAAATGAAAGGGAATGAGCACATCATGTACCACACATGTGGGGGACAGGTACAAAAGTGTCCTGTAATGCAACTGTGAAGAGGCAATTCCAACATAATGACAAAGTAAAGGAATTGTCTGCTCCCTTCAAAACCCTCTGAGGGTAACACAGATGCTACTGTAACAGCAACCACACTTTTACTACCTATTCATTTACCTGAAAACAAAGGGAGGGTGAGTGCACCAGGAATACACAGAATAAAAAGAAAAGTTGATATTATCATAGCCTTACCCAAGTCTCCAAAGTGAGCAGCTTCCATGTGACTTGGCTGCTTCTTGAGGGCAGCTGTGCGGCTGCTGGAAAAGGAGTCCATGTTGGCGGAGATGGCATTGATGGCCACATGGCTTGGTCCTGCAGCCTCCAGCAAGGCATGATTCCTAGTGCTTCTCTGAGGGGAATGTACTGGGATTGGAGCTGGAATCAAGACAGGAATTGTTAAAGCACAAGGACCCCAAGACTCTTCTAAGCATTGCCCAATGCTAAGTACCCCAAAATATACCAGGGAGTTTGCAAAAGTCAGTTTCATTAAAACCTCACTGAACCACTGTGCGTCATCTTTGGTCAAGGGGCTGATTAAAGACCACAAGTTTTGTAATTGCAAGAATAAACTCACTCCCACCCACCTCTGTTTTCCTTATTCAGCAGCAAATCAAGAGATGCCACGTCTAAGTTTATACATGAAATATTCCTGTGTCTTCCTGCTTCCTTGATAACCACTACTGCAACAACTTTATACTCTGCCAAGAATTTAGCTTAGTTCCAGTGCTCCTGCCAATCCATTTCCATGGCTTTTCGAAAGCTAAAATGTGTTAAAAAATCCTGAACTACAAAGCCATCTGTGAGGTTTAATAAGAGCTATTTCTCAACAATACTTTTGTTGCTTCTGCTTGGTTGCAAGAGAAAAGAAAACAATAAGGAAATACCTCTGATGAAACCCAGGTTATACACTTAACCCCCTCTGGCTGTTTTAGGACACAAGTGGCTACTGGAACTCAAAAAAAAAAAATAAATAAGAACTTCCTCACACAAAATTCTGCTAATTGTTAATTGATGACAAAGCTGAAAAAAACCCCAAGCATGCTCACAGCAGATTCCAAAGCTCTCAGGAAGCTGTGTTAGATGAGGATGTCATGCAGGGATATCTTACACCTCTGACTGAAAAATAAAGCACATCAGATGAGCTGATTATATCAGCACCTCCCAGGGATGTGTTCCATCAAGGTGTCAGGCAACTTGGGCTTCATGACTTCCATGCTGCATCACTTTATTTTTATTCCCAATTTTATGACAGCAGTTGACAATTTCACACTTAGATGTCACACCACAGATACCTCAGGAGCAATGGAAACATTTAAATTATTGCCAAGTGTTTGTGCAGTTGCAGGATTGGACACGAAGACACCACTTGCTGCTTCTTACAAAGCCTCTGGGAATTTCATACCAGCAGTAATGGAGAAAATACCTTTTTTCCAAGGCCAAGGGATGGCAGCAGTGGGAAAATTTGGTGGAGCTTACTTGTGTAGAGCCAGAGCTACACTCCTCATAATGCTACAGGCTTTTGTCAATTAGATTTAAATTTAATTTTATATTATGGACATTTGAGAAAAAAAATGTTCTACTCTCTCTATGGGTCGAGCAAAGGTGCTCTCTGCTGCAGCAGCTCACAAAGTGCAATACTATAAATTTTCAAGTTTATTTTTATTTTCAGGGTCAGCATACTGGTAGTTGCACTGAAAGGTGAGGAGTGGCTATGAAAAAAGATGCAACTCACTGTTTCCTGTATTTGATTTGAAAGACAGACTACCAAGGTGAAAAAAGCCTGTCATTTTCTCTTGATGTGCAGATAACACATTAGTACAGACACAGGATTTTGTCTGAGGGTATAAAAGTAACAGACCTGATTCTGGCATTTACCTCATCTCCTTTCAGTACTGCAAGAAAATCTGACAGGATAAGCAAACTTGTTTTTCTACAGTTTATAAATCTTTTCCACTGAGATCTTTTCTCCTTTCATACGAGATTTAGCAGCAAGACCTCTGCCCCACACAAAGCAGCAGCAGAATGGCTCTTTCAGGATTTGGATCTTCAGCCTCACAAGCCCCATCAAAGTTAAATCTGCAGCTTCTGCAAATCAGACAGTGAATCTCCACTTTCCAAACTCCAAAGGACACTGCACCTGAGCAAGGAACTTCAGCAGCAATTTTTTGTGGTTAAGGAACAACCACCATATGCAAGGTGACCAGACTGCCTGATCACTCTGAATTAAAGCTCACAGCTGACATAACTTAATAACCCTCTGCACCTACAGATTCAGCAAGATAAGGAGGAACCCAGAAACAGAATGAAGTTCTGGGTTTGATGCATAGGTCAGATCTGTGCTCAGGAGTAAGGAAATGATCCTGTTGGGTAAGATAAAAATGCTGGATGATGGCAGAGATCTGAATTTACAGACAAGAGTTTGAGCTTACTTTTAATTGCTTTCACATCTGTGGTCTTTTCTTGTTCTTTGCCTTTCACTGTAAAATACAAAGGAAAATGTTAATGCTATTTTGAGCCACTAATGGCATTCATCTGAGAATGGACATAGAATTCCCAACATCAGCAAGCATCAGAGGCAGATGGAAACCATAATGTTGTTAAAACCTATTTCTCATTTAAATTGCACATCTGTAACTGCCAGAGGCTTTCAAAGCTCTTCTGCAGACTTTTCAAAAGCAAAACCTTATAATCCATCAATTAAGTTTCATGAAATACCGTCTGTTAAATTTCCATTAAGATATTTACTGTCCACAGATTAAAGCTACATTCAGGGTGACTTTGATAAACAGCATGAATTGGGAAGAGTGGGAAAGGTGTGTTTTAAGTGTAGAGTACTGGCAGGTGCTCTCTGTGAACCAAAAATCACCAAAAAATAACATTTCACTTGTGTTACAGAAAGAGCAGCACAACTCCCAACACTGAGGAGATGTGGGCTGGCTCTGGCTCCATGGAGCTGCTTCCATGCATATGATGGATACCACAGGAAAGCTCTGGAAACTCCCTGCAAACAGTTAATTCTCTCACAAATAGTCCTGCTTAATCATCATCAAACCTCGAGTGAGCAACTGATGGGGAGATAACACTGTAAAAAGTTGTGATGGAAAAGCGATTTGAGAATTTATTTCTTTTTTACATATTACTATTTTATAAAGGAAGCTCCTAAAGGAAGTGAAGGAAGAGATCTGTTCAAAACAAAAATAAAGAAGCCCAAGCAGCACATGAACAGGATGGCAGAGAAACAAATGCAGGGGTGATATTGGAGAATGTGATCTACCAGGGAGGCTGCTCCAGGCAAGGATTATTACTACAAATAGGTCATCCCTGAGCATGACTGTGGAGCCCTTCCTAAGGTAACCACAAGACACAGCCCGGCACAATCCCACATTTACATCACAAAACACATTAAAAAAAAACTCACCCAAAGCCTTCCTATTCTAACCTAAGGATGTTAAATATTTTAAAGGAGAACTCCGCTCTCTGGTTACATAATTGCCCTGGCCTGGCGGCTGCAGCTCAGCCTGCCAGCCTCCCCTGTGAGCACAGACGCTGCAGGGCTGCAAACTCAGATCAGGCTCGAACATTTCAGCTGCCAGTGAGCACATTCTGTGACAGAGGGGTTTAAGTGTCCAGTAAAAGAGGTGGATTCTCTCCACACTGACCTGCAGCCCGATACAGCTGCGAGCAAGGGAGAGTAACCAGCCTTTACATAACTGGAGCTGAGGACAGGAGAGAAATTACTGAGGAACAGTGAGGCACAGAGGGAACCAAGCAACCTCTACGAACTCTCATCTTCCCCAAATCACTCCAATATTTCATCAAACCAGTTCCTAGCTATCAGCAGTAATTCCTGGGTTTCACACAAGAACCCTCCATAAGCCTATTTTCAGTTTAAATACCTCTGTTCCTCCTTTCCAAGCTACTCAGTCCCTCCCTAAATACCTACTTACTACTGGAAATACAAACTCCAGGGTCGTGTCCCAATCCTTTCCACACAGGCTGCTTCTGTCTCTAGCAGCTGAGCACAACCAAGTGACATCAGTAACAGGAAGGGACAAAATCTGCTCTGATCCAGGACAAGCCCAAATTTTAGAGACTGAAGTTTCACTACATGAATTCACTTTCACTTCCCCCAAAAAGCGGATGCTGTGTGGTGCCTGTGTGAAACCACAGAATGGGGACTGAGGGTGAGGTTTCCAGTGGCCAATCCCATTCCAAAGGGTGCCAAACCAGCACGTGACGTCCCGGAGTTTTAATCCACATCTTGAAATGCTCTGAACAAACTCAAAAAGCGTTCATGGTGTGTCAACAGCGCACAAAAAACGAGGACCTGCTGAGGCCAGCCAGGCTGTGGGACAGCACGTTATTCCCAAGATATCCCCAGGGATGAGCTGTTCCACTGGCAGCAGTTTCATAACCTGCCCTCAAGTGCCCAGCTCACCTGCTATACTTCGATTTCTCAACCCATTATCCACCTTCACTGTGCCATACCTTTATTTTAAGGCCCAAGCTATAAAAACACTTCACCCTTGGTTTTGATTTTTCTACAGGTAAGTTGCTTTATGATCCTTGCTATGGTATAATTTAAAATTAATTTTTACCCACTGCAATACCCTCTTAAACGACAGCTCACCCCAGGAACACTGGTGTTTATAGGATTTTGGACTGCACCTGGCCAGTGTTTTATCCTAAGCCTTAATGTGCTGCTTTCCTCTCAGCTTCAGTTCATATCTTCTCTAAAAGCCAAATCTAAAAACAGAGATCACACAAAGTGGTGTTTCACGCACAGCCCAGATGAAAGGTTGCTTTTCTCCTCCCTTCACAGCGTCTCTCTCAGGCTTTTTGTGCTGATTTGCCTCTCTGACCAAAGATCCTTTAATCAAAGGAATACAGATCCTCAACTACGCTTGTCAGATAATCAGACCTCTCATGGCTTTCTCCCTGATAAAGTTTCCACCCAAGCTGACCTTGTCCCTGTGATCCCACATCAGGATGGAACCTCAGCTCCACAATTCTCAATGAAGCAGCAGGAGCTCATTTTGAAGAGTTTATAACCACTATCAAAGTTTTATTCTGCAGCCCAACATTTATATATAAACACCTCAAAAGGGATCATAGCACTTGCAAAGACCTCAGTGGCTTCCAGAATCTTCAGATCTGCTATTAAGAACAGTTCAGATTCATTTCTCCCACAGCTTCTGCACTAACCTCCCCAAAGACTGACATTTTCAGTGCTGCTGCTTTGGCTGAGCAAGATCCAGAGGATGCGTGATCCAAGAGCATCAACATCACCCCAGGTACCACGTTCTGGCCTCCCAGGATGTGCATTTTGCATTCAGTAACCCAGAAAGTCTTTAGGACTGCGCTGCATCAGAAAAATCAGTGGTTGCATTGCTCGAGCTACAGCATCGCGAGGAAACAGAACTTTCCCAAGGGGCCTTTTCTGAAAGGTGCCACTTCCAACAAAATACACCCAAACCACAACCGGGCGGGTTGAGAGGGCAGGGCCCTGCCTGCAGTACGATCACAAAGTGCCTTCAAAACGCTGCGCTCCAAGAGAACACTTAAACTGCACCCATTTGTGCTGCTGGAGTATTATAAATATTTCACGAGCCCTGAATTTCCCAGCTTGTGCTCCCTAACAAATCTATTACAGAATAAACTGCCACGGACTCCTTTAGCTTGCATGGAGAGTTCAGTGCGATGAGATCCTCTTTTCACTGAGATTTTCAGCCGCTGCTGTACGTTCTCGGCCCATCATTATTTTTTACAAAATATGTCAGCATTGTGAAAAATATCATCTGTAAAGGGCTCAGAGGCTCAAGCCCTGCACGAAGCGTGGGAGGTGCTACAGCCCCCTCTCGCCCCGGTCACCGTCCGCAGCCGCCGGGAGCCGCGGGCAGCCCGGGGGCCGCACCCCGCTGCCGCTCACGGGAGAGCCCCGGCAGCAGCCGAGCCCCCCGAGCCCCGCCCGGCCCCGGCCCCCCAACCCCGCGGGAGGACCCGGGCACCGGCACTGACCGTCATTGGCGGGGAGACCGCTCCTCAAGGCCCGCGCGTCCTCGCGGGGCCCGGTGGCGATGCCCGGAGGGGCTGGGCCGGGGCCCGGCATCCGCGCGGGGGACGAGCCCGGCGGCCGCCCGCCCACCGCCCCCCTACCTTTCCGCCTGAAAAAGGACATAGCGCCGGGGAGGGGGCGAGGCGGCCGCCGGGGCGGGGGAAGGCGGGAGGGAGGGAAGGCAGCGCGCCGGGTCCTATGAATGAGGCTGCTGCGCCCGCCCGCCGCCACCGCCGCTCCCTCCGCCTCTTCCTCCCGCGGCGGCGCCCGCGGCCGCCATGTTGTCAACAACCGCCCCGCGGCCGCTTCCGGCAGCGCCGCCCGCACGGCACGGCGGGATGCGGCCGCACTCAACATGGCCGCCCCGGCGCCGCGCCCGCTGGCCAATGGGGGCCGGGAGGGGCCGCCATGTTGGGTGAGGGCAAGGAGTCCGCGGGGGGCCGGGGGGGAGGGGGACTAGGGCGGCCATCTTTGATGAGGGCGGGGGGCGGCCTGAGGCGCCGGCCGCCATCGTGCCTGAAGGCGCGGGTGACCTGGGGACGGTGCGGCAATTTGGGCGCGTCCCGTGAGCAGCAGCGACAGAGAGCCCTGACGGCAGCGGACACTGTCCTGAAAGCAGGGGACAGCGGGAGAGCGCCGTGGCAGGGCCGTGAGAGCCGAGGCGTCCCGCAGAGCGTCCTCAGGACGTGTCCCAAAATGTCCCCTTCGGCCATGGGGGCCGCAGCAGAGGGGACGGACAGATAGATGGACAAATGGACAGCCGGACACCCCTGGCCCCTGTCCGAGCTCCCGCCCGGAGTCTGAGGGCTCTGCAGTGCGGGTCCCAGGGCCCTGCAGGCCGTGTCGTCGCTGTCTGCAGGACATGCCTGGCCGCGTCCAGGAATGCGGCAGCTCCTTCATTCCATGGCACCGCCGTGTCCTGCACAACCAGAAATCCCTGCTCGGGACGGGGGGACACCGCCGGCCGCTGGGGATCGATGTTCGATAAGTCACTTCCGTCTGAGTCCCGAATCCTGCCACAAAAATCCTCTTAATCATCATCCCGAGACAAATCTGCTCTTCCCTCACCTGCCGAGGACGTTTGTCACCGTGTCACACAGGTGACACCATCGCACAGGTCGATATCCGAGAAGACGATCTCTGATCTAAAAGCTTTACAAACACTTTGTAGACTGTGATTACAAATTCAGGTTTATGTGTGAGGAAAGAGAGGCTCAGAGGCAGAGGTGCCATCCCCGTATCACCCCGGATCAATGCCGTGTCACCGCTGTGCCGTGTAACTGTCCTGCCCTCGCTGCCTGAGCCATGCCAAAATGATGTAATTAATAATCATTGCGTGAGTTTCTGCACCGTCTTTCATCCAAGCATTCCAAAGCTCTTTACAAACACTCAGTAATTAAGACTCATAAATTGTATAAAAGGTATATGGGGATCTTCCAGGGCTGGGATGGAGCTGTCTCCTGGGCGGGATGGTGCTGATGATCAACACCCTGTAGCAACCGCATTTTCTCTTTTGATATTATTTTTGTTAACTGGTGCTCTTTGATACAGTTCTGTACACATGCCCAGAGGCTGGCTGGAGCATAATGAACTGTTCTATGTTGTTTCTGCATAATGAATGGAATTATTTAATTGGCACGTAACCTCAGAGACTGCTAATAGACTAAAATATTCCAAAGATGAGCGAATTGTAAAGAATGGGATGACTCAGGGAGCTCTAAATTAACATCTTCTGCCAAAAATTTTGCACTGGTCCTCTTAGGTTTTAGGGTATATATGAGGGTGGAACAAGGATGCAAGACAAGAGTTTGAGAAGAATTACCTTCCCTGGACTGAAATTTTCTCTCATTTTTGGGAATGCAGAGGGGCTGAAGCTCCAATCCAGAGTTGCTCATTCAGCCTGGATCTGGATCTGAACTGGAAGTGTGAGTGACAGCAGGTGCTGGAGTCTTTAACAGAACATGGCAGGTTAATTATCTGAGCAATCGGTTACGTATGACTTCAGGACATGGGTTGGCCAATGTCAGAGAAGCTGAGGGACTCCTCCCTAAATTAAAATTTAAAAAAACAAGAAAAAGCTGTCTAATTGCTTGATTTTTTTTCCTCTCCACAGCTAGAAAAATAAGTAAACTTTAATATTTGAAAATATATGAATGGAATGATCATGTTTGGGCAGATGTAATAAAGCAGAACAAGACTTTGTTGCCTCGGATAATTAATCACAGGGCACTGCTCTGCTAAATTATAGCACAAAAACACAAATGTAACACATGTTAGAGGCCATTCCCATTTCTCCCATCTTTGGGACAGTCCATTTATTCCCATGATGTTGGAATTATCTCTCTTATATAGAATTCTCACTACTTTGGGAATACAAATACCAAAAAATATATGAGTAAAGGACTTTAAGAGCTGAGATCTTACTCTGGAATAAATAATACTGTCCTAAACACATGAGGAGTCAAAAATGTATTTGTACAGAAATTCACAGCACCTTTCAATTAGAGATTTGTATTTTTCTCCAATTTTTTTTTTTTTTTTTTTAATGGGAAAACAAGTGTCTGCATGCACAGACAAAATTCCTGGCAAATTTGCTGTGGCTGACCTCAGTCCATGAACCCTCCTGGGAACGGGAACCTGTGCTGAGCGTTTCAAGGAGGGGAATTCTCCCACATCCCAGCCTGGCAAAAATTAACTGCTTTTATTAAAACATTGCAATCCCTCCCTGTCTCCTTCCACTGAGCTCCCAAAAGAGGAAGGTTTGTTCCTCCTTGCCTGGGCACAAGCAAAGGGTGAAGAGTCTCTGTCTGACTCTCAGTGGGTGAGTTAAAACTTGAGGTTTGAAATGTAAAATTGAGCAAAAAGGTAAAAAAAAGGTTCACTCCCAGCAAGAAGAGCTGTGTTGGTGGCATCTGCTGCAGATGTGCTGGACAGCAAAGCTCTGGGAAGCAGCACTGAGCAGGAGAAAGCAGAAAATGCCCCACTCCAAGGTCCTGAGCTCTTCCCAGCCCTGCTGCAGGCTGCTGCTGCAGGAACAGAGCCTTTTCTGCAGGGCTTTGGAGCCACTCTGGAATTATTCTGAATTAGTGAAAGCAAATGGGCTCGTTGGCACCTCCACTCTGCTCAGATGGCATCGCCAGCGCTGTGTGGGACTCACCTCACATGACCTTTCTCCAATCCACAGAATTTTTCCCAAATTCTTGGCCGTTCTATGGCACAGTAAATACTTGAAAAATAATAATCTAGTTTAACACCGTATTCTGTTTCTCTGTTCTTCTTTTTTTCCCCAGCTTTTGCTTTTCTAGATGCCTCAAGGAGTACAAGAAGCGATGGAGCACATTACAGCAGTTGGGTATTTCTTCAAACCAGGAATATGGAGGAAGAAAACAAGGCTGAGTGTGATTTTCGGAATTACTGAAGTCACAGGACGAGCAGCATCCGCGGCATTTCTGAATGCAGGACACAGACACACCCCAGTGAAGCCAAGACGCTGTGTGCAGACAGAGCCGCAGCGAGTTACCGGAGGCTTTGCCCGTGAATTCAGCTGTACGAGAGGATGATTTGCCGTCGCTGCTACAGCACTCCGGGCGCACACCAGGAGAGGGTGCCAAGCCCCCGGCTTCTGCTGCCGGAATCCGCACGGGCTTCCCAGGACTCTCCGAGCCCTCTCCAAGCGCTGCGCTTAAAACACCAACCAACGCACCCTGGATCTGAAGGAAAACCTATTTTTTTGACCAAAAGCCGCCCAAATGTTTTTAACTGTTTCAGCGCTATCGGCAGTAAGTGCCCGAAACCCGCCAGAGGACATTAGCGTAGGATAAAGATATTTTTTGCTACATTTTAAAAAGGATCTGATTCTTTATGATGGACGTGGGACCGCTCGGAGGAACAGCTGAGCTCCTGAGAGCGAGAAAACCCGTAAGAGCTGTGAGGCACAAACATAAGACATCAATCTGTGCTGCACAGACACCGTGAGGTTTAGCAGGAATAAAACCTCATCCATGAAGTTTTTAGAATGACTCTTATAAAAATCCATCTGCACTGGGAGGCGCAGCTTTTACACCTCAAGTAAGCGCAGGTTCCCGGGCAGCCGCTCCACGATACCTTGGAGAAACCTGCGGGATTAGAGGATAACACTGCCCGAGCGAGCAGACCCCGCTCCGAGACCTCCCTGCCGCGGAGGGTCTCAATCCTCCCGCGTTCCCCACGCGTGTCCCCGTCCGGGAGAGCTGCAGGAGCGGAGCGCAGCATCGCCATCTGCGGCCACGGAGGCAGGGTTAAAAATACCACCGATAATTAACCGCAGGAATAACTCGACTCTTTGGGGGCCGCTGCGCAGCCTGCAGCGGGCAGAGAAACGGCCTGAAACGCCCCAGAACCGTGCGCACAGGTGACCCCGCTCCCCCCGCCCCGGATTCCCCCCGCCCGCCGCGGGTGTCGCAACCGCACCCGTCCTCAGCCGCGCCCCGCGGGGGGGGCGGCGCAGGGAGCGCGCAGGGAACGCGCAGGGAGCGCGCAGAGAGAGCGCAGGGAGAGCGCAGGGGCGCGGGCAGCGCTGCCGGCCCCGCGCCCGGCCCCGCCGGCCGCCCCGCGCCGCCGATGCTGTCGGTGCCGGTGCCGGTGGCGGGCGCGGGGGCGGCGCGGGGCGCGGGCTCCCTGCCCCGCCGGCGCACCATGTGCAGCGGTGTCGGCTGTTTCTGGGCGCTGCTTTCCGCCGGCCTCCTGACCGCCTGTGCCGCCGCCTTCCTCTCGCCGGCCTGGCTGCTGCCTCCCGGCCGCGCCGCCGCCGGTTTCGGCTTGCTCTGGCGCTGCGCCGGGCCGCCCCGTGGCTGCCACGGCTCCGCCGGCCCCGGCGGCTTCGGAGACATCCCCTCCGGTTCCTGGCAGGTGAGCGCCTCCCCGCCGCTGCACCCTCCACCGCCTCTCACGGGCTCCCCGGCATCCCCCGTCAGCCCCCCGACATCCCTCCTGCCCTTCCCTGGACTCTCCGGCATCTGCCATCACCTCCCCGACATCACCCATGTCTGCTTCTGGCTCTCCGGCATCTCTCATCACCTTCCCGGCACATCCCGTCACCTCCCCGGCATTCCCCCCGCCTGCTTCGAGCTCCCCAGCGTCCCCCATCACTTCCCCTGCATCCTCCCCTTGCCTGCTCTGGGCCCCCCGGCGTCACCCCATCATCTCCTTGCATCCCCCCAGACCTGCTCCAGGCTCTCCAGCATCTCTGTGTCTTCCTCACGTCTCTAAGATCCCCCATCACCACCCCAGCGCCCCTTGTCCTGTCTTCTAGCCCTCCTCCAGCATCCCTCTCCTGCCCAGAGCATTCCAGGCATCTCCTGCATCCCCCGTCCTGCCCT